GGTGTTTCCTTCGACTTATATATTAAAGTTTTCTGAAGTGGAGAGAGGTTCTAGTCTTGTGTGTGAGGATCTGCTGCTCCTGTTCCTCCTGTACCACTGTCACTTCACTCTACTGCACATGTCTCCTGCAGAAAGAGCCTCTGTCCTGCTGCAAGTCGTGAAATATTCAGCTGAAAACTGTAATCGAGCAGCAGAAAGAAAGTTTGGAGTGAGAGAGAAACTTGTGAGGGACTGGTGGAAAGCAGGAAAGGAGAACACAGCTCCACAGTAACCGGGAGGATGCACCATGAAACTTTCCTGAAGTCACTGGATGGATGGACAAAGCCTGAACTTCAGTGACACTGAAACCATCCTGTTGGGATTTAGAAAGACCCGAATAATTCTAAGTGGAACTGATGCTGAGTCTGACGACAGCGACACAGAAGAGGAAGCGGCGCTCTGTTTACATCATGGATCTATGTTTTACCTCCAGAGGTCGTGGAGTTGTTCAGAAGTGACACCGAGGATGAAGAATTGAATGGATTTAGTGATTTGGAGTGAGATGGAGAGTTTGGTTAAACTTGTTCTGTTCTGTTGTTTATGTTATAGTTTATCTGAAGAACTGTTCATATGTGACATTAACAGTCTGTTGTTCTCTCTTCTATTGTTAATACTAGAACCTGACTTTACACAGGAAATGTCGGTTCCCCCAAAAAGTGCAACTTATAGTCCAGTGTGACTTATGTTTTTTTCATCTTCATTATGCATTTTTTGGCTGACTTATACTCCAGAGAGACTTAGGCTACGTTCAGACTGCAGCCTGAAGTGACCCAAATCCGATTTTTTGGCCTCTATGTTCCTGTATCTGATCTTTTAATGACAGTCTAAATGACACAGATCCAATTTTTTTCAAATGTGACTCAGGACACTTGGATATGTGCTCCTGAAACTGATACATATCTGATCTTTTGACATGTGACTTCAGTGTGAACAGTCAAAGTGCATCCATCCAGCTACACGTTATCAACAAGACGTCACTATTCTGCGCTGAAGTAGATGAAAATTGTTAATGAACTCCGTGTCACTGAAGTGAAGCACATCACCACTCACCACTCTTGGCTCCGTCTCCACATCCACACGTTCCTTTCAACAGACTGTCCCACAAAACACCACGACCAAAAACCTCGTCCTTCTCCTTCTCAATCTTCTCCTTAAAACAAGTAAGTTGTTCATGTTCTGGCTCCGGTACGAGAGGAACTTTAAAATCTCCAGGTGCTCGATGCTGCGTCCATGTTTGGACAACTTCCGTAAACACAGAGACGCTCGCTGTGGTTGATGTCGTCGTGTCTCCAGTGTCACATGTGGGACACTTTCGGGCCGTTTAATGTTCACACTGGAGATCACATACAAGTCACATTTAATTGGAAATGTGAACGACCTTGAAAAAGCATCAGATTTAACAAAAAAAATCCGAACTGAGCATTAAGCCCTGCAGTCTGAACGGAGCCTTATAGTCCAAAAAATATGGTAATTGTATTAAAAGTGTCTTTAAAAATGTAAAAAACATAACTAGCTCATGCCAGTTTAGACTTAGACTTAAACCAGCTTTATTGATTCACAAAGGAAATGATTTGGACGCAGTAGCTCAAGAGACATAAATTATAAATGTGTACAGTAAGTAAAAAAAAAAATCTAATACTGTAACATAAACACAGGGTATCTGTTTGCAGTTTGCAGTGGTCCAGAGTTATTCCTCACTCATCTTATGCATTCAGAGTATCAGAATTATTCACCACAAAGATTTATTTAAGTACTTTTCAGAACAGAGAAGAGTTTTGCCAATACGTTAATACAAAAAAACAAGTAGTATGCTAACACGCACTTCCTGATGTCTGAACAATAACATGTTCATAAATAGAGACAGGGAGTTACTGGTATCCATGTGACTAAGGGTGTTCATGAAAAAGGGTGCAGTTCACTGTGTGTGTGTGTGTGTGTGTGTGTGTGTGTGTGCGTGTGTGTGTGCGCGTGTGTGTGTGTGTTTAATGCTTCCGCCACAATAAAGGCTTTGAAATATTTTATAACTAAGTGAGTGCCTGATATTTTTCTTTTTCTCAGTAAAATGTTCATGTTTAGACGCAGACAGAACACAGCAGAACTAGACTGACCTGAAGAGATGCTGCTCTAATATTTCTGTACAAGACATTTTGGTCAAACACGTGGGGGAAATCGAGTGTGTGTTTAAGGGCCTTTAACACACACTCTTGTAGGTGTGCTGGGTGTAACTTTTGTGGTGGATGGTCTGACACCTGCTTGTTCTTCCACATTTCCTTTCGTGTTGGAGGTTATGATGTGTTGTGGTTTGTACAGGGCTGTACACACGGGGGATAAAGGGCTGTGTTGGCCCAGGGATTTAGGGGGCCAAGAATTGGACCCTTCTCCTATTAATTTATACTACAGGGGGCCCACGTGAGGATTCTTACTCCAGGACCTCACATTTCTGTCCATGGGCTTGGGTTTATGGAAGAGTATGGCCAAAGGTTTGTGAAGACTGATCAGAGAAACAGGGCTTTAAATCTGAGTTGTTGAAACTCTGCATATACACACGCTTTGACAAAACTATAAAGGTTAGTGGATTTCTTCACAGTAGACATGATTGACAGGCAGATTAACCAATCAGAGAACCACATAGTCTGTTCATGTCAAAACAAACATAGAGGCTTACATGTAAAAAAATAAATAAAAAATAGAGAGGCGACTGTGTTGGACAGAGGTTTTTCTGTGGTCTGATTCCAGATCCTGGATTCAGACTGAATGTACAAGGGACTGGCTGCTCAGGGACTTTGTGAACTGTATGGAGCCTGAACCCTTCAGTTTAATAAAGGAACTACAAACACTGATTGCAGTTGCCTAACATGCAGACTAAAGACACAATACACATTTTCCTCATTCTCGGTATTGATAGTTTTCAGATAGAATGTGGTGATGTCGGTCTCCCCGATGGGGATAAGAGACAGTTTTCCCCTTTGATTACATGATACTGCTCCATGAAATATGCAAAAGGTAAAATCACAAATGTTGAACCTAATGATTTCTATGAGTTTCTAGTCTCTATTTGTTTCTTGTATTCCAACAAAAAGCTGCATTTTAACAACCCGTCTGTAATAAATATGATCGGCCTGTAGTGTAATGTTGTGATGTCATCTGAAGACCAGTAATATGGACACACCAGGACTCATGTGAATCATCGCTCATCATGTTAGAATAAATCAGAACTACAGTTGTTATCGCTAAAAGCGACATTTAACTTGAACTTATACCTCGTATCTGGAGACACAGTTTGGTCATTCATGGAATTTAAAATGAAAATCTTACATAAAAATCCTTTAAAATAATTTCAGAATTTGTGTCACTCTCAAACAGAACTGAATTGGCTGATGCTGTATTTGTGCCTGAGACATTTAAAGGCCTGTTTAAATGGCTCACTAGGCTGAAGGGGAGAGAGATCAGGCTGGTTCTGTAGTGAGCTGTGTGTTTAGCGCCCTCTTGTGGACATGTACAGTAGACACTGTCTGTGTAATCTCTGTTTTCCAGGTTGGATCCATAGCAAAAGAAAAATTCAATTCTGTCAACTGGACAAAAGTTTTTCATTGAAAATGTTTCACAGTTCATCTAAGCTGCTTCTTCAGTTCTGGTCAGACATTGGTGGACACTGTCTTATATCTGTCTGCAGGGAGGAGCTAACTCCACTGAAAGTACTCTGAAACTAACGCACACACTTGTTTACAGTTTTTGTCCAGAACTGAAGAAGTGAAACATCTTCAATCAAAACCGTTTGTCCAGTTGACAGAGGTGATTTTTTCTTTTGCTATACAGAAGTGAATGGGCTCAAATCTGATCTGACATTGCCTGACTTTATCCCCACATTTTAACTGTGATATAACATATTTTTATTCTTACATAGTAGTGTGTGAGGCTGTCCAGAAAGAGACACATTCTGATGTTAAACTGCCCCCTGTAATCTTTCCTTTTCTAACCTATCACAGGTCAGATACTGGTTTGATGACTATTTGTAAAATACCTGTAAGTGGCAATTAATCTATTTTAAATTTGTTCACACTGTGGCACATTCCTGGTAAAACAATGACATTTCCATGGAGATAAACATGTAAAATAGTTACATGTGTAACAGAGTGGATGTTGTGGCTTCACCTCCCTCACACATGAGGCTCGCTGCACACAGGCAGAAGATCAGCATTTATTTATTTAGAGCAACTCTGTTTCAAAGAGGAACGAGTTTGTGAAGAGACATCAGACACGTCATCTGGAACACAACACACAAACAGAATAATGTTCAAGAATTGCTCTAATTCCAGTACAATGTATTTGACCTTCAATAATGCATTGGTCGTACACTTTTCCTGACACAACCTGATACAAAATACAATTTACAATTTGGTGCAGTTTTCATTTATTCCATTCTGATGTAAGCTGTAGCCACAGCTGCCCATGGAGGTGAGGCTGTAAATCTATGCCATCAGCCTGTCTGACCACCAACACGACTCTTTACACAACAGCAGTGTGCACTCGAGCAGCTGATGGCCTCTGATATCTAATGTTCTTCTGATCAGTGGAGTTTAACTTGTGGGTCCATCGTGTGGACAGCTGTGGTTAGTGCAGTGTCACATGTGTCTGGAGTGAGTCCTGCCTCCAGCACAGCTGCAGCAGTCAATCTGTATGAGAAGACTCTAAAACATGTGTGTGACTTTATATGAGAACATTCTACAACATGTGTGTGACTTTATATGAGAACATTCTACAACATGTGTGTGACTTTATATGAGAACATTCTACAACATGTGTGTGACTTTATATGAGAACATTCTACAACATGTGTGTGACTTTATATGAGAACATTCTACAACATGTGTGTGACTTTATATGAGCAGATTCTAAAATGTGTGTGTGTGACTTTAAGGTGCTGCTGTGTGTTTCCTGTTTCCTGTTTCCTTCCTTCAGATCTCCACACTGCAGGCTCCCCCCACTGCTCTCACTCTACTCTTAAGTTTTGTTTGTGTGAAAGTCCAACTTTCAGTGGCTCTTCTCCGGGAGACATGGACAAGAACGCCTTTGTCTGTCCCATCTGTTTGGATCTACTGAAGGATCCGGTGACTATTCCCTGTGGACACAGCTACTGCAGGAACTGTATCCAACAGCACTGGGCCCAAGAGGACAACAAGCAGGTCTACAGCTGTCCCGAATGTCGCCAGAGCTTCAGTCCCAGGCCTGTCCTGGTCAAACACATCATGTTAGCAAGTTTAGTGGAGCAGCTGAAGAAGACTAGGCTCTCAGCGCCCCCTGCAGACCACTGTTATGCCAGACCTGAGGATGTGTCCTGTGATGTGTGCACTGGGAGGAAGCTGAAAGCTGTCCAGTCCTGTCTGCAGTGTGTGGCCTCTTACTGTGAGCGCCACCTACAGCCTCATCATGATGCTGCAGCACTACAGAAACACCAGCTGGTGGCGCCCTCACACACACTCCAGGAAAACATCTGCTCTCACCACCACAAAGTGATGGATCTATTCTGCCGCACTGACCAGCAGAGCATCTGTTACCTCTGCTCTGTGGAGCAGCACAAGGGCCACGACACAGTGTCCTCTGCCTCAGAGAGGGCACAGAGACAGGCAGAGCTGCCGGCCAAGAGGGCCCTGCTGCTCCAGAGCCTCCAGCACAAAGAGAAAGACCTGAAGAGGCTCCAGCAGGAGCCCCAGGAGATCAGCCGCTCTGCCCGGACAGCAGTGCAGCACAGCGAGCACAGATTCAAAGAGATGGCCCTTCTTCTGGAGAAGAAACGTTCTGAAGTGGAGCAGCAGATCCGCACTGAGGAGAAGACCCAACTGAACCAAGTCCAAGAGCTCCAGCTCCAACTGCAGCAGGACGTGAGGGGGCTGAAGAGGAGCCTCTCTGTGCTGGACACACTGGCCCTCACCCAGGATCATAACCAGTTTATACAGCGCTTCACTTCACTGTCAACAGACACACAGAGTGCAGGGCTGGTCAGGAGTCATACAGAAAGGATAAAGAAAAAGGGACCAACTTCACAAACCAGGAATGTAACAGGGGCCCGGGGCTTTGAGAAGGTGACCAGAGCCGTATCAGAGCTAAGGGACAGAGTCCAGCTCACTGTGGAGGAGGGTCTGGCTCCTGTGCAGCTTTTACTGTCACCAGCTCAGCCCTCCAGAGAGCACTTCTTACAGTTTGCTACACACATCACACTGGACCCAATCTCAGTCAACAATCATCTGTGTCTGTCTGATGGAAAAAGAAGAGCAACATATATGGATGAACACCAGAAGTATCCTGATCATCCAGACAGATTCGGTGATACAGGTATGCCTCAGGTCCTGAGCAGAGAGAGACTGACGGGCCGCTGTTACTGGGAGGTGGAGAGGAGAGGGTATGTCGGTGTAGCAGTTTCATACAGAGATATTGAGAGGAAAAGATCTGAGTTTGGAGGCAATGATAAATCCTGGGGCTTAGACTGTCACATGAAGACTGCACTTTTTAACTCGAAGGAGTCCCAGATCTCAGGTCCGATTGGGTCCAGAGTCGGGGTTTACTTGGACCACAGTGCCGGGGTTTTGGCCTTTTACAACGTCTCTGAAAGAAAGATGAGGCTCCTCCACAGAGAGCAGACCACTTTCACTCAGCCTCTCTACGCTGGGCTCTGGTTCTGTGCTTGTATTCCTGAAAGCTCTGCTCTTTTCCTTAAACTCAGATAGCTCTCACAATCTGGCTTTGTCTTTGTACCTTTGTATCTGATGGTGAAGTATTTTGTGAGAGACTTTTTGAAGTTTATGATAAAAAAAAAAAAAAAAAAAAAATGGTTTAAGATGCAACATAGAACTTTGTCCAATCATAGTATACTTGATTAAACATGTATCAAATAGAATTAAGCTCATTATAAACACATGGCTTTTAAAAATCATATCACACTTAAAATGTGGCACAGATCATCTTTTGTTGAACTCACCTGGCAACAATACACCCTGTAGTGTTAACATACAGTCTGATTTAAATTGATTAATTAATCAAATTGTGTAACTTTCATTCAATTCAGTGATTTATTGTATAATATAACAGTTTAAACTCTCATAATGTAAAAGTGTGTTTTGTGTTTAGTTGTGATCATAATTGTCAAATCTGTCTGTACCAGTGTGAACAGAGCAGACATCAGTGTGTGTTTAGCGCCCCCTAGTGGTCATATACACACATTGAGCTGCTCTTCTGCTGAACATACATAGAATTATTAAATATGTTAAGCAATCCATATTAAATAAAGTATTTGTAAAATACTGTTGTGTCATGAAATAATATGGGTAAACATAATACAGGCTAAGATTTGCATCAAGTAAATAAATAAAAAAGAGCGAGCAGGTGGGTAAAAGCAGAGTTATCTAGTCCTCATGGAAGCACCAGTTTAGGATCTACTCTGACCAAAGTGCCCCACCCCATCTCCAACTCCAACTCCCTTTTTTGGCGGCCTGAAGAAATGTCTAACTAAATTAGTGTTTTAGTGCCCTCTGCTGCTATTGATACTTCACATATTGATGACATCTCGCTGAGGGTGTTGTATGTATCTCTACAGGCAGGATAATCATCAGTTACCATGGCGATACAATACACACATTAGCAAACATGCTTTAAGAACTCACAAAACAAACAAACAAACAACTTTTTTTTTGATCATGACAATAGCTGGACTAATGATAAGTGAAACCACACCATGTGTTCACAAACTGTTTATTCCTTTATGAGACAGAAGACCATCATTCTTATATTGACCAGGACTGACTCTTGTGAGCTGGTCATCAAAAACAGACCTGCAGTTGTGTTTATTTCATTTACACATGTGTGAGTAACTCCCTGTCTACATCTCTAAAGCTCAAAATACTCTGTTCCACCTTGTGATGTCATGAAGCATTAGTTTTAAAGCATTGGGAATTCCAGAGCTGAAATGAACCAAATGACAAACGAGTTCCTGGACAGGTTTTGATAGATCAGAAAACAGTGTAATAAACCTCTGTGCACAATTACACACTCTAACATCATTATCAGGTTGTAATCTTTCCGAAGGTTCCTTGTGTTTTTTCTATTCATTGTCCTTTTCACTTGTTTCAAACAGTGTCCACCATTGTCCATAACAGAGTCCAGTGTCCAGCGTGGTGGGGTTGGGGGTCTACGTGAGCCTCCTGAGCTTGCACATGTAAATAGGCCCGAAGTTGGCAGCTAAATGAGGCAGAACCAGCTCACCCACCGACAGCTCCGGAGCAAAGTGGAACGTGTTTGTGAAGCTGCGCGCGAACGGCTTCAGACTCACCGGCTGGAATACAACACACACACACATACACAGTTAGGGTTGTCAAAAATATTGAAAATCAGGACCTAATCGATTCCAAAAACTAATATCGAAGCTAAATTTGAGCAGGTATTGATACAGAAAAAGTCACATTCACAGAACAGAAGTGAACCTTTCCTAGACAGTTTTAGAATGATCTTGAGCTGTTTCAGAACAAGTATCAGAGCACATGGACCATTATGGAACCTACCTGGACCACTGAGGGATTACACAGATATAAAACCACAAGAAAGTATTATTATTTAATGTTGGAAATAACTTCTATTGTCTAGAGAAGAATGTTTTTAATTACCATTGTAGTATCATGATGTGGAGTTGATATGTTTGACTGAGATTCGGGAGCAGGACCACGCCTCAACCTCCACCGCCAACTCCAGCTCATCTCAACCACACTTTCAATTACCCAGAAGCCCATTTTATAGAGGCTGAGCTGACACCTGAGACAGAGCCCCCATCCTGAGTCCCGTCCAGGCCATCACATCTAGTGCTAGTGAATAAGTATCGAGTCTATTCCTTAATATCGAAATAAGATCAGATCACGCTGACGTCACAAACCAGGAAGATGTTTGGAAACCTGCGATGACAACTTCAGGTGTAGTTCCCGACGCTGGACTCACCGACCGACTGTGATCAAACCCACTGAAGTAAATGTGATCAGAGGTAAAATGAAGACTGCAGATGTATGTGCTGTTTGGAATCATCTGGAATTTAATATTTTTTTCTAATCACATGTACCAGTGTGCTCAGAGTTGTGTGTCAGTGGGGAAATGATGAAAACTGAGGGATGGTTGGAATTGTTTATGAGCCGAACATAACGGAACTCTACAATTACATGGAGATGAAGAAACCTGGAATATTTTCAAATTTTTTATAGATTTTGTCAGACTTACCGTATTTTCCGGACTATTAACGACTGCGCACCACAATCCAGAGCGCCCTCTACACAAATCCACTCAGGTGTCCCAGCACGACTTCAGTAAACTACAAAGCCACACCACCCGCAGAACACACAAACACACACGGAGCAGACAGCGACCACACAGAGAAACACACCCACAGACACACTCATCACTCCACGCCGACGAGGAACGGAACGGAGGAACGAACCAGAAAAGCGAGTGCAATGTGCCACTTCTAAACACGACTAAACAACTGAGTCACTGTGAACACGCCGACAATCCGTTGGTCCCAGACAGCACCCTCCCTACACGCCACAACTGAACAAAGCCCAGAGTCACCGTGAACGCCACAAACAAACAAAACCACTCACCCATCACACTGTTGTGTTTCCTTTAAAGTCCGGTGCCGTTTATTTATGAAAAAAGTTAGAAAATAGACCATTTAATGACAGTGTGTCTTATAATCCAGAGCGACTAGTGCAGAAAATACGGTATTACTGCAAACAGAGCCTGCTGGAAGTTGTCGTCACATGTTTCCAAACGTCTTCTTGGTTTGTGACATAAGTGTGAATAGAGCCTAGAAGATTTTTGAAATTTTAGTACAGTAACAATGCGACAAACATGTTTACAGTGGGACAACAATGTGTAGAACGTTTTACAGGAACCAGTGTTGTTTGGCAATATCCAAATTCTAAAAGTAATATTGGCTGACTGAGGTGGCAGAGTAGCCACTAATTGAGTAATTAAGTGTATTGCACTTTGAAGTAATTAGTATAAAGAGATGACTCAAGTAGGAGTAAAATAGTACTTGGGGAAACTACTACTCAAGGATAATTGTTAGTGTAACTTTCTGGACATAACACCTGATATTTTATTTAAAGAGGGGGTAAGATGTGAACTTTTTTGAGCTTTCTACCATGTGATAAAGTTGTTCCCTCATCAAAAACATGCCTGACAAAATGTTACAGAATAGAATAATGTAGAAAGCCCTTATTATTACAGTATAATGAAATTCAGAGCTGCTCCATCAAGTGCAAGAATTAATAATAAATCAAACCGATTAACAGTTCTCATTAATTATGGTGACAGCTTTGGAGAAGAAGCTGTCCCTGAGTTTGTTGGTCCTAGCTGGAATTGACCTGAAGCGCCTGTCAGAAGGCAACAGGTTGAACAGGTGGAATCCAGGGTGTGTATTGACCTTAATTATTTTCCTTGCTCTGCTGAGACAGCGAGTATTGTATAATATGGTTAAGGAAGGCAGAGGGCAGCCAGTAATGTCCTCTGAAGTGTTAGTGACCCTCTGCAGACGCTTCCTGTCAGCCTCTCTGCAGCTAGAGTGCCACACTGTCACAGCACAGGCTCTCAATGGTGGACGATAGAAGGTCACCAGCAGCTTGTGTTGCTCCTTCCTGAACACCTCAGGAAGTGTAGCCGCTGCTGGGCCTTTTTGACCAGTGCTGAGGTGTTGACTGACCAGGAGAGATCTGCAGAGATGTGAACCCCAAAGGATTTGAAGGACTCCACTTGCTCTACACTTTAGCCGGTGATGTACAGGGGGGCAGGGGTGGCACCTTTGCATGTTTGAGTAATCTTGCGATCTCACCTCGGTCCTATTCGAACCCTCCTTACGTTTAGCTGTAGGATTTTGTCCAAACTAAGCCCACAAGCCTACGTCATCCATGTTCCCACACAGCAATTTTAAATATAGAAAAGCCTGAACTATAGACAACGACTTCACAAACCTGATACGATGTGCAGTAGTGTTTTTAAAGGGGTGATCGTGTTATGAGGAGCAAAGGGAGCAGGGAACTAAACTGAAACTTGTTAATACCTTCTTTTGGGTGCCTATAGCATTTTTAAAACAATAAAAGGAAACACAGTGATTTAAATATGTTATGTGTTACCATTTAATACTCTAAACAAGTGTATTACCCCCTGTTTAAAGATAATGTAACTGGAATGGCAAAAAACCAGGCTGAAAAAACATGGGGGTCTCAAAAAATACACAAAAAGTATCTCACCTGGACCTGGATACCGTGCCGTTCCAGGGCCAGCTGTACTGCCTGCTCCACCACGGCCTGGTTCTGCTGCTGGGACAGTGTACATGTGGAGTACAACACCTCCCCCCCGGGACAGACCACCTCCAGCCCCGCCCTGAACACACAAACACACCAGATTCAATGCATGTAGACAACGTGCATTTGTAAGTATGTACAGTTCTAAACCAGGACTAAACCAGGACTGAACCAGGTCTAAAACAGGACTGAACCACTTCAAGTGTATTTCAGTCTTCCAATGTTGCTGTATATTCATATAAAGGTTCTTTTTAAAAGACTAGTGTGTTGTTTACACATATCTTGACATGTTTCCTTCTACATCCTTCTTCAGCAGAGTCACGTGATGTTACAGTGACGAGTCCTGCAGCTGATTTACACAGATTTTGACAGACTTCTCCAGAACAGCATCCACCATGACAGAGGTCGGACAGCAGATGGCGCTATTCCTCTGCCAATGCAGGTAGGAGAATGGCACTAAAATCTGTGTAAATCAGCTGCACAACTCATCACCACAACATCACAGGACCCTTCTGAAGAAGGATACAGAAGGCATCTGAAACGTGTCAAGACATGCATGTAAACAACATACTGGTCTGTCAAAAAGAACCTTTATCTGAATAGGACTAAGGACAGTTCTACAGTAGGACTACAAAACCCTAAAGGCACATAACTTCACCCAGGACTAGGTTTGATTCTGGTTTGAGCCCAGTCTTGTCCTGATTTAGACTGGTCCTGTTCTAGACCTGGTTGAACCCAGTTCCAGGTTTAGTCCCAGTTTAGTCCTGATGGGATTTGTGTTTAAGTGTGAACAAATCCTAATTTATTACTGAACCAGAAAGACTAACCCAATAAACTATCACTAAATCAAGTCTAAAATGATGACTAACCAAGAACTAAACCAGGACAGATCCAGGTGTAAACCAGGCCCAGGCCTAGATCAGGTCTAAATGTGAAGTAGAGGTGTTCCTCACAGCAGGAGCTCAGTCTGGAGCTGTGGCAGCCTCTTCCTCTCTCCAGTGCGGCTCTTGCTGAAGATGTTGTTGTCTTCCTCTGTGACCGAGAGTCTGTCTGTGGTACATGGGACGTCCACCAGCACCTGCCAACACCACAGTTTACTGTCTGAGTTTTTTTTCTTCATTGACAATGGCAATAAAAAAAATTTTTCTGATTTTGAATACACATTATAATATTAAAATATTCTCAGGTCCAGTCCCAGGTCCTTGTCCCAGGTCCTTGTCTCAGGTGTGGGTAAAGACTGAGAAAAGGCCAACACACACTGGAACATGGCGTGCTGCAGTGCATCATTAATTGCTGCACGTCAAACCCAACCCGTATCAAATACACTGAACGCCGCATGTCACAGCTCTTCAAAAGGCTTCAAAACCACTCTTGCAGTGTTCTTAATTAGCATTTTATCTGCAGATTACTTATAAAATAAGAGACAGCGTGAGGGTGTGAGAGGAGAAGTAAAGTGCTGGTTTGAGGAGGTTATAATGGCCCGGTGTGTGATGGATCATAGAAAATAATGAAGGTGGCATTTCTGCCGCTCATCAAAGTGTCCTAGTGTGCACTGGCCTTTAACTAGCCTCCACAGAAGCATGAGCTTGGGACCCACTCTGTCAAAGGTGTCCCTCTCGATCTGCCCAAACATGGTGCCATCAAAGTTGCTGATTCTCAGTCTGTGGTCTGAGAGCAGAGATTTGGGGATGTAACTCTGCAGGACCCTCCGGAGGCGCGTCGTCCGAGAAATTGAAGAGTCATTCAAACACACAAAACCTATGGAGAAAAAAATCAAAAGGTGCATTATGGAACTTATCTAGTGATAGAGTAGGCCACCTGTCTCTAGATGTTATTGTTTTGCCTAAAATGTTCCATAGTATGGGATGGGATTACATTTTTATTGCTCAAATAAACCTTTGAAAACATGCATTATAACTGTGAGCAGAGTCAAGATATCAAAAATAATACAAATACTAATCAATATTATACTAGTATTGAAACAACAAACTAATTTGAACAAGTACTGATCCTAAAAAAAAAATCTGATCAACAGGACAGAAATGAACCTTTCCTGAATGTCTTTAGAATGATGTTGAGCTGTATCAGAACAAGTAGAAGAGCACATAGACTAATATACACACATGGACCACTGAGGGATTACACACATATAAGACACATGGGAATAGAAATGAAAGTACTACCATTTAACACTGAAAATCACAGTCTATTTTCTAAATAAAGTATCAGAATCAGTACTGAGTACTGAGTCTATTCCTTAGAATCCAAATCAAGCTTGATATTTTAGTATTATGACAGGGTCTTGAGGAACTAATTTTGTTGTTTTTCTCTTGCATGTTTGAATGACAAATAAAGATCCTTGAACCTCATACCTAGTTCATACGTTTGCATGAGGGCCAGTGCCTTCCCTCCAGGGGCCGCGCACAGATCCAGAACACTGTGCCCCTCCTGGACGTCCAGAGCCAGGCAGGGCAGGATCGAGGCTGCGTCCATCAGATAGTATCCTAGCAACCCGGTAGAGTCAGGCCTGTGCAGGGGCAAACAAACAAACAAACAGCTATGGAAACCTTTCTCAGGATGTCCTCAACAGTCCTCAGTGTGTTAAACATGTGTGAATGAAACGAAACACAACTCCAGGTCTGTTTGTGATGAAGCTTGTTATAACATAGATTATAACATCTCTAGGCAAGTCTGAGTATTTCTAAAACTACAGTGAACAGTGAGTAGACTCCACACTGACCGCGAAGGTTTGAATCTGCTGATGTCTCCTCGAGGAAACACAAAGCACTTGATGTTTGTGGTGAGTCTAGGAGAAACATCTGAGGAGGTCTTCAGGTCACTTTGAGATCCACCCTCCGCTCGCACAGACTCACACTGTGACTCTGCAACAGAAATATACATAAAATACAAAGCACACAGTTGTAGCTTTATAATAAATATAATATAGTGTAGTATGTCGGGCTGTAGATCAATTAGCAAAAAGCTCTCAAAATGATTATGTATCTCTATGTATCTGATCAAAACATATTAATTAATTAAATGTGTGTATCATGAGTTTAAAGTTGCATTATGTAACTTTTCTAGAGGGGGTCCATGTTCCTGTAGACATTATTCTCTCTCCACACACATTTGATTACCTGTCAGTGCTGTGTCGGTGATGAAGTCCGTACAGCCCTGACGCTGCAGTTCACTGATGACGTCATGGTGCGAGTGAGCGTTGACCAGAGCTCCGTACTTCCTCTCACAGAGCAGAGCCACCCGCACCGACGGCCACAGCGCCCCCAGCTGGGCCCCGTACACTGCGTCCATGTGCTGCAGGGCCAGTCTGGTGGGGGGGTACTTCGGACGTGTCGCCGCCTGACAAAACATCAACATTAGATTTAGATTTAGACTTAGACAAACTTTATTGATCCACACGGGAAATGACCTGGACACAGTAGCTCACACATCACAATATATTATTATTACAAAGAGTAAAAACATTAATGGTAATAATTAATACTAAATAACTACCAAAAACAGCAAGAGACTAGTGTCAAATAAGACATAATTATATAAATGTATATGTAAGTAAAAGTAAACTCAAATAGAAATAAGTAATACAAATCCATTCAAGATTCAGTGGTTTGTCCTTGGGGCTTTTTAATGGTGAGGTCTACAATTAAAAAGGTCTAAAATAAAAAAATAATAATTCTAAAATCATGAGTGTGATACATTTACCAGATTGCTCTAAAGCCTCCAGTTGGGGTATATTACAGCCTTACATGATCAAATTCTGTAGGCTGCTGTTCATAAGAGGTGGACTGTTTCAGTGGTGTTCCAATTATTGTTACAACATGTATTTTTAGAATGAATGGATGAATAGATTTTTATGATTATTTATGTTGGATTTCCGTAAGTTAGTGTGACCAGATGTCCCTATTTACCCGGGACAGTCTCAGTTTTGAGCCTGTGTCCCCTGTCCCAGCACATTTATCCAATAAAACTGTAAATTATTCATGTTTAAATTAAAATCCAGTGATTTTTCCCAGTTTTATACAAGAAATGTCCCTGATGTCCCTATGATTGACAAATTTGATCCCTGTCAACAGTAAAGAGAGGGATACACTGTCATTTGTTTAGGTCAAATACTGAAAAGCTGCTTTAAAATGACCAAAACACAAAGAAAATGTGACTATTCTGACTCATGTTATGTCATTCCTGTCATGAATGAGCCGAGTGCATAACAATTTTCCTTAATTATGCACTAGTTTCCCAATTTGATTCTTACCAACCACCACAAACCGGGGGAGTCCTAGCTTTTGATTTTGAAAATGTGGTCACTCTAACATTAGTTATTACCACAGCTATAACTCCTCAACACATAGACAAGTACATTTAAAAGTAAATTACAAAAACTTTGGAATTTCACATATAGACATTCTGTTAGTAAAAACAAAATATTTTTACTATATTTTTTGTTTTACAATATTTTCACAATAAACGTAATAATTACATAATATTTTTACTATAACATGAACATGAGAAAACAACATGTTCCAAGTACTTCCCTGTATGATGTAAGAAATATATAAGAAATATAAATAAATACAGTTTAATTCTCATGATAAGAAACCCCAACAGTATCACCACTGTCCTATTCCTGCAAAATACACTCTATTACATTTTGAAAATCTAATAATATATGCAACTATTTGTTTGTTTTTCAAAATTCGTCATCAATTCTTCATTTTAGATCTGGTTCAGTCCTGTTTTAGACCTGGTTCAGTCCTGTACATACTTACATATGCACGTTCTCTAAATGCGTTGAATCTGGTGTGTTTTGAAAATCTAATTATATATGCAACTATTTGTTTGTTTTTCAAAATTCTTCATGGTGCTGCTCCTCCTCTGAAGGGTTTTGTCTCACTGATCTTTGAAAAAACATCTTGAGTAACACCCTCATCCTCCAGAGAAGAGACTGTCCCCAAATGTAGAACGTAGAATGTGTGTGTGTGCAAATGATACAGGGTGGAAGAGGCTAAGAGTGCATGTGGTTGTGTGTCTGTTGTATGTTGTTTTTAGAATCCTATTTCAACACTGTAACCCTAAGTAATCTGTTTAAATTTATTTTTGGTCAGTTTATCTCTGCACACTGAATCTGTACTTTGTTGGAGTTGTGCGTAATAAAAAGGAGCCAACTTTTAATATTTCCACCTCAGGGACACAGGCGTAAAAGAGCATCCACACTGTAACCTGCACCAGCGTCTTTTCTTTGACTTCTGTCATGGTTAATGTTTTGTTGTGCTCTGTCCCTGTACAAATAAAAAGCAGACCGTACTATACTATACCCAGTGTTGGGGAGTAACAGATTACATGTACCGGAGTTACGTAATCAGAGTACAAATTATGAGTAACTGTATTCAGTTACAGTTACTGTTTCAGTGAGTAGTAATTAGATTACAGTTACTTTGTTGAAATAAATGGATTACATAGAGGTATTTTCCTGTTTTTACATTTTGGGCTATACCCCCCCCCACCAGGACTAAACCAGGACTAAAGCAGGACTAAAACCAGGACTAAAGCAGGACTAAAGCAGGACTAAAAGCAGGACTAAACCAGGACTAAACCAGGACTAAACCAGGACTAAAGCAGGACTAAAAGCAGGACTAAAAGCAGGACTAAAAGCAGGACTAAAAGCAGGACTAAACCAGGACTAAACCAGGACTAAACCAGGACTAAACCAGGACTAAAGCAGGACTAAAAGCAGGACTAAAAGCAGGACTAAAAGCAGGACTAAACCAGGGCTAAACTAGGACTAAAGCAGGACTAAAAGCAGGACTAAACTAGGGATAAACTAGGACTAAACTAGGACTAAAAGCAGGACTAAAAGCAGGACTAAACCAGGACTAAACTGTAGTTTTAAAAAGCATGACAATATCAAGTAATCCAAAGTATTCAGATTACATTACTCACTTTAAGTAATTTAATGGATTCCGTTACAAACTACATTTTGGGGTATGTAATCTGTAATCTGTAGGGGAATATATTTTAAAAATAACCTTCCCAACACTGACTATATCATACTTTTGTAATTTACCACACAACAGCTGCATTCCTCCACATTTTGTCAACAGTACTCGTGTTTTCTCAGACTCGAGCAGCCAATAATGTAAAATTAACATGATCAATACGTTTGTAATTGATTTCAAAATTATATTCTTCATTTAAAAGAACATAAACTGAAACAGCAACATTCTGATCATGAGATTTCCAGTTCATTACGTTCATAAACAGTGTTGGGGAGTAACAAATTACATGTACCGGAGTTATGTAATCAGAGTACAAATTATAAGTAACAGTATTCAGTTACAGTTACTGTTTCAGTGAGTGGTAAGTAGATTACAGTTACTTTGTTGGAATAAATGGATTACATGGATTCCTGTTTTCACATTTTTGGCTATATCCCCCCCCTTTTTTTTTTTTTTCTCTGTAATTCCACTCATTGCTGGAAACTAAACCAGGACTAAATCAGGACTAAACCAGGACTAAACCAGGACTAAATCAGGACTAAACCAGGACCAAACCAGGTCTAAACCAAGACTAAATCAGGACTAAACCAGAATTTAACAGGACTAAATCCTGCTGTGTGGACGTGTTTCCTCGTCTTCTATCATTAATATTTTTAATTTGATTCAGTAAAGTCTGGGCTTTTTATTTTCTTTTAGCAGATAAAACAATTTATGTTACGATATCCTGGTCTTTGCTTCTCTACAGCAAATCAAGTAATCCAAAATATTCAGATTACGTTACTCACTTTAAGTAATTTAAGGGATTCCATTACAAACTACATTTTGGGGTATGTAATCTGTAATCTGTAGGGGATTACATTTGAAAAGTCACCTTCCCAACACTGGTTATAGAGCAGTGTTTTCATGCCCAAAACGTCTCCAACAATAATGAATAAAGATAACGCTATAAACCTGCCAGGTTTAGCACGTACCCATTTCTCTTTAACTCTGTTCCGTTTGGCCGTAAAACATCTTAAATCTTTAACTTTTCTCAAAATGAACTTTGTTTCCATGAGCAGAGCCATGTTGTCACCGTTTTTAATGTCCGACTACTACGCTAACCTGCTCAATACACGTTCCGGCTCCTTCTGCAAAGTAGGCGGGCTTTTATTCAAATGAAACCCGCGATTGGACAAATTTAACATCCATCATTTTGAACAACCATTCAAAATCGAGTTCCGGTTTTTCCTTGACATACTTCCTGCGTGTGACCGACCTCACGTCCTCAACGCCAGTGGTGCTGCCAAGTGGGTGGTTTTGGCGCATTTCGGCTGGTTTTACGCACAATTTTAAAGTTATCAAGATGGTTTGGGAAAAGAAGATGATCGCGTACGATGACCCAGACGATGAGGTAAAGATCGATTGCGCATTTGACTTGTTTGGGTCTCGTTTTAGACACATGTATTGGCCAATGACCAAACCTGGTTCAGTCCTTAGGTAACCCCCTGTAAACTTGATCTGACTATATTTGTGTCTCATCGATTATTATTCACTTAGATTCATAATATGTCATAATATCTAGTCTCTTTTTGTTATTTTAAATGATTGACCGGTTTTGTAACTGTGAGTGATTTAAAGCAGAGCCCCAGTTTGGCCTTGAATCCTGTAAAATAATTTTGCCTGGTTATAATTCACAATATTAAAATGAATGTATGTTCAGGAGGAAGAGGCAGCTGAAGAAGAGGAGGAAGAAGAGGAAGAGGAAGAGGAGGAAGAAGAGGAGATGGTGGTAAGTAGGGGTGTGCAAAAATACTGAAATATTGATATATCGTATCATTTAATGTCTTGATACAGTATTGATACCTTGAGCTGCTGTATCAATATATCACCAAGAGTATTTTTTGGTATATTTTACTAAATTATTTTGTCACAGTTACAGTTTTGTTGCTTGTTTAGAGGAAGGAAACTCATTTATGTGAAACATTTGACATTTTCAGTTTCAGTGATTAAAATGTTTCATATTCAGTTTGCACAAGAAGTGATTTAATAAAGACTTTTAGTATCACAGTCATACTTTTGCTATTATTTTTATTGAACTGTATCAAATCGAGTCGAAATAAAAGCTCACTGTATTGAGATATGTATCGTATTGCATCATGGCCAGTGTATCGATGTATGCATCGTATCGGTAAATTCTTAATGATACCAGCCCTAGTGTAAGTTGATGAGGTGTGATGGTTCCAGTGTGTTGAAGTTGAAAGTGTGTGAGTTATTTCTCATTAGACTTTACTCATTTAGATCAGGGGTGTCAAGCTCATTTTGGTCCGGGGGCCGTGTCCGACCTACTTTGATCCCAAAGGGGCCGGATCAGAAAACTCATGTCATATAAACCCCAAAAATAACAATAAGTTCAAATATTTGTGCAGAGAAACACAAATCTATTACAGAAATCTTTTTTAATTGATGAACTCTTTCTCTTTTACAAAGTATTATCATATTATGAACAACTTTAAGAAAAATAAAATTTCAACACTAATGTTTTTAACATGAACTTGTTTGCAAACAGGAATGAGTCAATTTTTTTTCTTGGAAAATCCTGCACTCGGCTCCACTTTTCTCATGTTGGACATTTTTCTGATGAGGGTGTCACGGTCAACAGTCAAAACGATCGTCCTTTAAGAGCGTTTGGAAAGAGACAAGTCTTCATTTGTGCTGCTCTGGTGGGAGGGGCCACGTACAGAGACGCTGGAGACGCTGCTGTGATAAACACCACAGAAAATTAACAACATTTTAATAGAAAATATAATTTAAATATTTTAGTAGAAAATCAGCCAAGGGCCAGATTAAAGGTCTTGGAGGGCCGAATGTATGTTTGACACCCCTGATTTAAACAGAGAAACCTTTGAACTTCATTTTGTTAACAGTAATATCAACATTTATTATTATAAATGTTGCTATCTCATTCTAAAACGATTGTTAACTCTAGTCTAATCTAATCCTAATAAGACTTTTTTTAAACAAACTTCCTACTTACTGTTTAACTTCTAATATCCCTACTTTGAAACTAAATGAATAAATAAAACAATACAAATGTATGAAAATCATTGTTAAAACTACTTCCTGTTTGTCAAATTGAATATTTTGATTGCCATTGCCTCAGTTACCCCTCTGTGGTACCATAAGCCACAGTGACATGCTACACTAGTCTATAAATAGTTTCTTGAATCCCTCAAAGATGCTTGATCATAAAGTCAACACAACCATAGCACTTAAAAGATGTGAAGCATTGAGGACTAACCTTTGCTTTAAACTTTGAACTCTTGTCCCTGCTACTTTTAACAACATTTTCAAACTACTGAAAGCACTACTAATATAAAAAGCATCCACACAGTTCAGTATTTACATACAGTGTGCATTCTTTAAGTCTGGAGGAAGGACTGCACACTGTATTGCAAGCACGTCCCAAAGGCTTCAAATACTTAGGATGACTGAATGTCTTTTGCAAAGAACAGAATATCTAGTCTTTAGAAAAATCTTGTACCTGTAGCTTAGACCTTTTTAATATATCCTCCTCAGGACCCTCTGGAGACGATAAGGGCGAAGTGTGAGGAGACAGAGCACTGTGTTCACTACAAAGAGAAGCTGGAGGTGTGTGAGGCGCGGGTGGGCTCCAGGTCCAACACTGAGGAGGACTGCACAGAGGAGCTGTTCGACTTTCTACACGCACGGGACCACTGTGTAAGACATATGTCCAGTTATACAACCACAGTCTTCAGATTCATTATATTCTCTAAAACTAAAGATAATCATGTCCAATGTTATGGTTAAAGCAACAGAATTTTTAACAGTATAAAGGAATGTACTAGTCACTACTGAACCTGAGTTGCCAGTGCCTTAACCTACATAGTACATCATTTTTCTCATTCTCAGTATATGGACATGCCTCATATAAAAGCTCAGAACCTCCAGTATTCACTCACTGAGCTGCAGAGGCTGCACTGACTGGGTTTATGTAGTCAGGATTCAGTTCAATAAACAAACTGGATTTCAGCATTGAAACTGGCAACCCAAATGAGACTCTTGTGAGACTCGTTCTGCTTTCTGACTGGATAATCATATTAAACACCAAATTATAAGTAAATGGGACAGTGCTCAGTATTTTTGTAATTCACCACTGTAATGTTGATTTATTCTTATCAGTAAAGCTATAATTTATTCATACATGTATATGTCGTATGTGGGGACACAGATGGGTCAAGTTTATGACATTTAAAATCTAAATCTTACTTGCAGTTCCCTTAAGCTCTACACAATAGTTACTCCTTAGACTTACGATGCATGATAAGAGGTAGAAACTGCAGACCGAATCCTCCAGCTACTATCAGATGAATTGTAATTTATGTATTTATGGAAATGCATCAGACTGGCTGATTACAAACACACCCTAACGCCCGCTATGTGCTAATGAAATGATTTACAATGGTTTACAATGCAGTTAATATAATACAAGTAGCACAAGAATCAACTTGCCTAAAATATTTGTAAATTACTACTTGCCTTACACAGTCACAATACTGCTGCAGGGTGAACTTGACGCTCTGTTTGCATTTTAGTCACTGGAGATGAGGATGATCTGAACTTAAATGTACCATATATAACAGCTACACTTTCTCTTTTTGTTTGCCTTTTACAGGTCGCACACAAGCTTTTCCACAAAGTCAAATGACCTTATCCACGTCCATATGAGTCTGTATGAGTCTCTATCCCCATTAACTTATCATGTGTGAGCTGCTGGCACCCCCCTCCTCCCCCACTCCAGCCTGTAGGACACGTAACATCATGGAGCGGGCAGCGGCTGGTGACCCCCTCCTCACACTGTGGTCTGTGTGAATGCATGTGCTGCGCCAGTGTTGACTTCAGATGTAAATTCATTGTTCTAGATGAAATAATAAATATTTTCTTGGGTTTTCAGTCTGAAGAGATGTCTTTTGTTTTATATGATGCGCTGCAGTAAATTATTCATGTTTAAACCTTCCTGGTGGAGGGTCAGTCATCTGCTTGTCTCCTTGCAGATGTTATTTTGACTGGGATCCCCTGCTATGGCATTAAACGTTTACATCTTTTACTCAATATGGGTTTTTATTGATCTAAAAACTTGCATATACTGTGAATGGGCTCGTCTCTCCATAGATTTGACATGTAACTTGGCCAAACTCATTTATCTGTACAGAGACAGCAGGTGACACCACAGGGCATGTCAGATATGTGGAGAGTCAAGCCCACTCACAGTAAGAATGAAAGGTCAATAAAAACCCACAGTAGTATGTATATGTTTAATGCCATACCAGACAAACAGCAGGTGACAGACCCTCCAGCAGAAAACGTTACATCAGTTGTATGAAACATTAGCACTATTTTATCTATAAAAACTGTTACAGCTAAATCTTTCAACATCCTATCCTTTATTCACTTTGCAGTTTAAGATGAATGTCTATTGGCACTCTGAAGTTACCTGACAAGTTCTGTCTGTCATTGTAAAGGAGAAACATTATCATTAAAGAACTGTGTCTAAAATTTCTCTTTAATTTGGGTTTAACTCTGAAGTTGCTACCTTAAAAAAAAGTATATATCACTGCACTGGTGTCTTAACCCTCTCAGGCTCAAATTAAAATTTTAGTAACAGGAAAAAATCTGATATATGGGGAAGTAATATACAATCCTGACTTTTTTTTAAGAGAGACCTTCACATCCAGTGAGTTCTGGGATGTTGCAGATTTGCAGCATTGGTCCAGTGTGGTAAATTAACACTGAAGACTGAAAATGATATGAACTCTAACTTTATGTGTTCACCACTTTTCATAACAATGAAAACATAAAGCAGAGTGTAACAGCTTTACAGTGGCAGAACAACATCACTTTTTCGTGTGGTACTACGAGAAACAATTTTTATCCTTTGTAAACAACAAAAGTATTTTGCACTTCTGGCAGGTTGTTTGTGTGTAACCATTCTTGCACAGTCTGCATCGTCCACGTTTATCAGCATGGTTGGGAAAAAAGGCTCCTGAGTAAAAAAAGCTCATAAAATATGGATTTGGAGTAAGTAGGTAATTGACATTTAGCTGTTACCAATCTGCAACATCTGCCTGGAGAGGGTTAAATAAGGGTCGGGTCGAAAAAGCTCCAGTTGGTCCCAGAGGTTACAAAAGAGAGAAAAAAAAGGTCCAGACTAGACGGCTTGAATAATAATGAAGGGATGACATGGTAATGAGTTAATGAGTTGTGTTCATGTAATATATAATTCTGGACACTTCACAGTTCAAAACTGAGCTGGAGGATAGGTCAAAATTCAACAGATATAATTGTCAGTTGAAAGAACTTTAAGATTAATGTGATACAATTGTGGATCTCTAAAAATAAGATCCAACATTTGCAGATTCAGTTGCCCGTGGAGATACATGACTCAGAAATCTGAATCTGAAAATTAGGACATAATGAAATACTAGAACATTACGTATGTTTTTTTTTATTTTTTTATATATATATATAGTGCTTTTCAAAGACACTTTACAGAGCATTATTCATTCACTCCATACCTAGTGGTGGTAAACTACTACTGTAGCCACAGTTGCCCTGGGCCAGACTGATTGAAGTGAGGCTGCCAGTCACCACCATCAGTCCCTCTGTCCACCACCATCACTCACACTCACCACTTCATACTAGGCAATATGGGTCAAGTGTCTTGCCTAAGGACACAACAGCAGTTTTTACGACTGGCGTCCCCCTGTGGCACCTGATTTTCCCAGAGGTCTCCATCCAAATACTAACCAAACCTGGCCTTGTTTAGCTTTTGAGATCTGACAGGATCAGGTTTTGACAAGCTGATATGGTCCCTTTAATGTTTGATGTATTGTATATGTATTCATTTTTATAGTTTTGTAGGAACCATAATTGGCGTTTTCCTCTGAAGACTGGAGTTTGTCAGTTAAGGACAGTGTTTACCAACCAAGGGACTCCTGGAGGTAAGGTGAATTATGCAAGTTTTCTGATGGAGGGCCTGGCACATATTTTCTTCATGGAGAAGTTACCACTTTGTATGTATTGTAGAGTATTAAACCTTTATTATCATGGAGACTAAACCAGGCCAAATTACAGGTCAGATCTGTGGAGAGGCAACAATGCTCACAGTCAGAATGTTGTTTTTCTAGGTATTTTTGAGCTCTAAAACCACTTGTAATTTAATAAATGTAAAGTAGAGCTGTTTAATGTCACACTGTGGAATATTCCAGGCAGAGCAATAACATATCCGTAGAAACAAGCAGGTGACGGACCCTCCACCAGAAAACTACACCTTTTAAATGTACTATCTTAACTCACTTCACACCAAACGAATCAGATAGTGCCTCTACACTCACAATGTAAAAGGCCGAGTCAATTTCACGCTCCACTACAGGCAAAATATAACTCTAGATACAAGAATAACCTCCAGTAAACAGGTCTGCATCCATTTTTAATTATGTGAAATATGATAAATAATAAGTGTAATCATGCGTAGCCAGATTAATTAAAAAGTTTGAAAAAAAAAAAAAAAGCACAAATACATTAACTAAACATTTATTTGAGTACGTAGACAATGCATGATAAGTTAAGATAAAAAAAAAAAAAAAAAAAACATGATAAAACAGTTACGCAGTAAAAATATAGCAGCCAGTAGGGGGCAGCGTTGCCTTGTGTCCAGGGACAGTAATGTGCAGACAGTGCATTGGTTTAAATAAAGAGACGCTCCATCAAAAGCAGTTTTCTTTGTTCTGACCCATGAAGTCATCCATGGAGGCCTAGAAAATACACAAGGAAAAGGTTAGAACGAAATGTTACTTCTAATCTGGAGCCAGGTTATAGTAAAACACTTTTTGTACAAAATATTAGTCCCAGTTGTAACATACAGTCTCCTTCAGTTTGGTATATATATAAAGTAAATATGCAACAGTAAGTATTCTGTAAAAAAAAAAAATCTGTTTGACTTTAAAAGGTGCATTGTGTAACTTTTCTGGTGGAGCAGCCGCCAAACGCTTTTCTCTGTGGAGATGTTATTGCTTTGTCTGGAATGTTTCACAGTATGGCATTAAACCTTTCCATCTTCTACCAAATCAGACAGGTCAGATCTGTGGAGAGGCGACCCCACTCACAGTCAGAATGTCTGTTTTTGTAGGTATTTTTGAGCTCTAAAACCATCTGTAATTGAATAAATGTAACAGAGCTGTTTAATGTCACACTGTGGAACATTCCAGGCTGAGCAATGACATCTCCATAGAAACAAGCAGGTGACTGACTCCCACCAAAAAACCTTTAAGCAAAAATCTGATGACTGATTTCTGAAGCTCATGTTAATGAAATGTCATGTCAAAAGTCCATCTGATTTTTTTGTTCACTCCTGTGCAGGTTTGATTAAACGATGAATAAAATGAAGCAAACCAATGTGGTAAAAAGACGAAATTATGAAGAAAATTATGTTAAAATACAACGATTAATATATAATTATATATTAAGGGAATCCAAGCGTAAAAAAGCAAACAAACATTTTAATGCAGGCAAACACAGCATTTTAAAAACAAAGTTAACACTGATTTAAAAGTGCTGTGTCAAGAATGAATATCATTAAAAATAATGAGCATGCCACAGCTACTTGTATGCAGACAGCACACAACAATCTGGTTTGAATTATAACACACCACAAAAAAATAAAATATATATATCTGTACTGGGGCAATTTGTTTTTACTTTATTACAAGATAAAAAGGGTAAATAAATGTTAATTTAAAAGCTACAATTTTACTTTTCTGGTGGAGGGTTCGTCAAATGCTTTTTTTTTTTTTCCAGTAGAGAGGTTGTTGCTTTTTCTGGAATGTTTCAGAGTGTGGCATTAAACTTTTCTATCTGCATGGAGACCAAACCAGAGTAAGTTACAAGTCAGCTCTGTGGCGAGGCAACCCCGTTCACAGTCAGAATGTCTGTTTTTCTAGGTATTTTTGAGTTATTAAACCACCTGTAACTGACTAAATGTAAGATAAAGCTGGTTAAAGTCATACTGTGGAACATTCCAGACAAAGCAAGTACATATCCATAGAAACAAGCAGGTGACGGACCCTCCACCAGAAAACCTTTATCATTTAACAGTGGCTTTTTTTACATGGACACCAAAAGTCTGATCATTGTTTGATTTCTGAAGCTCATGTTATTGAAATGTCATGTCAAAAGTCTCATTTGATGTGAGTAATCTGATTTCTTTGTTCACACTTGTGCAGGTTTTGATGAATAAAATGAAGCAAACCAAGATGGTAAAAAGACGAAATTATGAAGACAATTATGTTAAAGCACAATGATTAAAATATAATTATATATTAAGGGAATCAAAGTGTAAAAAAGCAAACAAACATTTTAACACAGCATTTTAAAAACAAAGTTAACACTGTATTTTTAAAGAGGGGATATTCGTTCTTGACACAGCACTTTTAAATCAGTGAGCATGTCACAGCTACTCCTACACAGACAACACACAACAGTCTGACTTTTATTATAACGTGACACAAAAAAACATTTGTACTGGCGCAATTTGTTTTTTACTTTATTACATGAAAAAAATTGTAAATAAAAGTTAATTTAAAGGTACATTTGAACTTTTCTGGTGGAGGGATCGTCAAATGCTTTTTTTAATAGAGAGGTTGTTGCTTTTTCTGGAATGTTTCAGAGTGTGGCATTAAACTTTTCTATCTTCATGGAGACCAAACCAGAGTAAGTGACAGGTCAGATCTGTGGAATGTCTGTTTTTCTAGGTATTTTTGAGCTATAAAACCACCTATAATTGACTAAATGTAAGATACAGCTGTGGAACCTTCCAGAGAGAGCAAGTACATATCCATAGAAACAAGCAGGTGTCGAACCCTCCACTAGAAAAGTTACACAGTGCACCTTTAAAACCACTCATGATGTCTTCCTGTACACTGACCTGCATGAGCAGCCTCTCCTTCCTCATCCTCTTGTAGAACTGGAGCACGTCCGGGTCGGCCCTCACCACGCTGGGGTCGAAGTCCATGACCCTGAGCCCCTCCAGGCTGCGGGCCCGAGACAGAGCCACGTACGCCTGGCCGCTCTCAAACACCCGCGCCAGGGAGATCTCCACACAGTCCAGCGTCATGCCCTGGACACAAGTTAGTGACGGATTAAAGTAGAGCCAACATTTTTACACCATTAAACATTAAAAGTCCCTGTGCTGGTTAAATATCATGGATGGGACAAGATCTCGTGAGACAAAATTGCCACAAGATCGTGCACGCATACTAAAAATGATCGAGATTTTTTTTTCTTCATGTTTTCATGTTTGGATTGGACAAAAAAACTACTTCGACAAACTTTATTACACAAGGGGAATTATAATGACACAGTAGCTCACACGTCACAATATAATGAAGTAAAAAATGTAAGTGGTAATAATAAATAATAATAAAAAGTAGCAAAAAAGATAGGTGTCAGATAAGACATAATTATATAAATGTATATGTACAAGTCAAAATAAAATAGAAAAATAAGTAATAAGTGAGTAGTAAGAAAGTACAGAGTTCAATTTCAAATTATCTCAAAAAGCTGTGTTACAATGAAAATAGAAATATTAAATAAGTAAACCAAAAATGGGAACTGGATCGCACAATTTATTTTAAATGATGTTAAAATCTTGTCTCGCTCTCGTATATCCAATCTAGTGTCTCGTCTCGTCTTGTGGAAATTGTATTTTGTCCCACCTTTATTAAATCTGTATTTTTGGCATGTTTAAAGTGTTTGTTGTCTCCCCCTGCTGTCGCCACGGGGAAAACCAGCCTTATTGTTTGATCTATGTTATAATGTTCTCATCAACACACCTGGAGTTGTGTTTTGTTTCATTCACACATGTTTAAACACACACACACACCTGTTTCACACACGTTTCACACACGTTTTACACACGTTTTGCACACGTTTTACACACGTTACACACACACGCACACACACATACACACACTTCACACACGTTACACACACATACACACACTTCACACATGTTTCACACACATACACACACTTCACACATGTTTCACACACTTTTCACACATACTGTACACACCAAGTTCTTCTCCAAAACTGAAAACATGATGAGCCTAACAATCCAGGATTACTCAAACATGTGTGAATGAAACAAAACACAACTGCAGATATGTTTTTTTTGATCAGATAAAAATAAAAACATGGTTAAAACCTCACAAAAATCAAAGCTGCATAATATGAGATCTTTAAAAAAATAGAAGAAATGAAATGACCGTGGTCCAAAATTCTCATCACGACCTTTGTCTGTTGGAAAAGCTTTTTACAGAAAATGCATTGACTGCTAACAGCTTTGACAGGGCAGATCAGCACAAAGGGTTGTCTAGATGAGTGAAGAGTCTTGCCCAAGGACACAAACATACCAGCCAATAATTCCAATCAGTCACTGCATTAAAAAGGTCCAAGTCACTTAAAAACGAATATCTGAATACATTTACATTTTTGGTATTTTGACACAAAGTTCTTGTTTTGAAATAGGAAACAAATGACTGATGTATCCCAAGTACGGTAAACCTCTTCCAGTAACACATTTTAAAAGAGTAATACTGATTTGAATCTGTAAAAAGCTCAATTGTTAAAAGGCGCAATATGTAACTTTACTGATTCTGGGATCTGCTAGTTGCTCGTCACCATGGAGATGTTGCTGCCTTGCCTGGAATGTTCCACACTGACGCAAAACTTAATCAATTGTATTTATTTTTAGCATATTTTGATTGCTAAACTGAAATGTTTTGAAGAACACAGATTTTTACAGTGAGCGGGGTCTCCTCTCCACAGATCTGACCTATAACTTTATCTGTTGGAGCTACCTGCTTCTGATAAATATATATTTAAAAGGTGCATTGTCTGTCAAAGGCTTTTCTCCATGGAGATGTTATTGCTTTGTCTGGAATGTTTCACAGTATTATTAGGTATTAAACCTTTGTATCTCCACGGAGCCCAAAAAAGACCAAGTGACAGGTCAGATCTGTGGAGAGGTGAACCCGCTCTCAGTCAGAATGCCTGTTTTTCAAGGTGTCTTTGAGCTATAAACCCACCTGGAATTATATAAATGTAAGATAAAGCTGTTTAATGTCACACTGTGGAACATTCCAGGCAGCAGCAAGCATGACCCTCCACCAGAAAAATTACACAATGCAATGTTAGGATAAATAACTAGGCTTAGGTGGTGTATAACAAGTGCTATGATGTAACTGATGTGCTGCTCTACAGTTATTGATGTACTGCTATATTTTTTTATTGTACTATTATAATTCACTATACAATGACCCAGAAAACAGAGACTAGATTACAGCTGAGGGATGCAGAGATAGAATATCTTGTACATAAACTGAACCTATTTCTATCTATAAGTCTAATCAACTAACTAAATAGGGCAAGGACTTATTGATAGGTATATACTGACTCACAACTCATCACCCTGATCAGACCAGCAAGACGCTCCTGTAAGGGGAGTGAGATGAATCTGGGGATCCTTGTCACAATCGGATAGGATTGTGCAATGTGCCTGGCTGGCCTGTGCACCAACGACAAGGCACAAAGTCTAAATCATGGTCGCCTCCCACTCTAGTTTGCGTATAAATATCATTGTATAGGCGAAAATCTTTAGTCTCTGCATGGGAATGTCAGCACAGACTCCTTTTACAAGTATGACTTTTCTAATATTGGAATAAGTAAATTATCTGGACTTTATTTCTGTTTCAAGTGTAATTTTTTTGTCTAAGCAGAAACTAACAAACACGCGAGGAAAAAGGTTGTTTTCCTCAACAGCACCTTTAAAGCTATACTGTGGAAGATAATGGGCAAAGTGATACTTCTGGAGACAAGTAGTGGTTTTCAGGAGTCCACGTTTTTCCTCACTTACCTTATGCATTCACAGCATCATAATTACTCACCACAATGAGTTTATACAGTGCTTTTCACAACTTTCAGAGGCCAGAGTGGAGTTTTGCCATTATGTTAAAGCTCACAATTAGCATGCTAATGTGCACTTCCTGATTAATAGACAATAGAACGCTTCAATAGTACACAGTGGATTTATTTTGACCTCAGGAGCTGTTTATTATTGAAGAATTAGCCTAATCCAAGACTATTAGTATTCCTATTCAGGTAAATGAGCAGGGTCACCTCTCCACAGATCTGATCTATACCTTTGGAGATAAGCGGGTAGCGCCAACTAGCAAAGTTATTCCTCCCTTAACTTACACATTCACAGCATCATAATTACTCACTCTGTGGTAAAGCTCACAACTAGCATGCTAACGTGCACCTCCTGATTACTGGACAATAGAACGCTTCGATAGTACACAGTGGACTTATTTTGACCTCAGGAGCTGCTTATACACCACATGTTTAGCCTTGTCTATTATTGAACTCTTGGCCTAATCCACAGTATTTGTTTTTAAATGAGCTGCACACTTCCCAATAAAATCCTTAATATCAGCTGAATGATCACAGCTTTGAGACATTTTCAACTGGACAGAGACCAGCGCTTTAAAACACATCAAAACCTAAACCGTGCAATAATGAGATCTGCTACTACTGCCCCGATAAGATCTGCCGTGTGTATGTTCTGCTGAAAAGTGTCTGAACCGTTTTATTTCCTGTGAAGTGCAGATTTGCTGTAAATCACACAGGAGGGGTCGTGACCAATGAACTCTATTACCCATAAGCCCCGGCGCGGTCCCAGGGCTCAGGATGTATGGATGTGTAGAGGCTGGAGATGGATTAAAGGTGTGGACGGATATGGCTCAAAGGTTTGTGCCTATCAGGTTTACTGTTGACAGTCTTAGATCAAACCACCCCCGAGGTTTGAACGAGGTTAAAGAAAGTAGGTCACTCCTGGAGCCTGCAGTTAAAGATGCACTGTGTAACTTTTCGGTTGAGGGGTCCGTCACCTGCTTGTTTCTATGGAGATGTCATCGCTCTGCTTTGAATGTTCCACAGCATTGCATTAAACAGATTGACCTTACATGTGTTCAATTTCAGGTGGTTTAATGGCTCAAAAATAACCAGAAAAACAAACATTCTGACCTGCAACTTGGGCTGGTTTGGCTTCCATGATATAAAGTTTTAAAGTGTTGGGCGCGGGCTCATTGATTCAGATCGTTACCGTATTTTCCGGGCTATTAGTCGCTCTGGATTATAAAACGCTCATTAAATGCTCTTTTTTCGAACTTTTTTCATAAATAAACGGCACCGGACTTTAAAGGAAACCCAACAGTGTGATGGGTGAGTGGTTTTGTTTGTTTGTTCGTTCACGGTGACTCTGGGCTTTGTTCAGTTGTGGCGTGTAGGGAGGGTGCTGTCTGGGACCAACGGATTGTCGGCGTGTTCGCAGTGACTCAGTTGTTCAGTTGTGTCTAGAAGCGGCACATCACACTTGTGGCTTTTTCGGTTCGTTCCTCTGTTCCGTTCCTCGTCGGTGTGGAGTGATGAGTGTGTCTGTGGGTGTGTGTCGCTGTGCGGTCGCTGTTTGCTCCGTGTGTGTTTGTGTGTTCTGCGGGTGGTGCGGCTTTGTAGTTTACTGAAGTCGTGCTGGGACACCTGAGTGGATTCATGTATAGGGCGCTCTGGATTGTGGGGCACGCGGTCGTTTTTTGATGCGGTTAGAGGCTTAAGAGCGCGTCTAATAGGTAGTTGTTTTTGTTCCCTTTTGTAGTAAGTTGTAATTAGTCCTTTTTGTGTATTTTTGTTTATGGTTTATTTTTGCGTGGATGTGCGGAGCCTATAAATACAACTGTTTGCCTGTGGCGTGCTCTCTCTCTGCTCCTCTGCTCCCAGCGACTTGCTCCACCCAGCCCCGCTCACCTTGTGAGCTCCAGACTCCAGATTTTGTTTTGACCTGGTGGAGGCGGCTGTCCTGTTTTCGCTTTTCTTTTGGGTTCAGGTTGGTTTGGGTTTTTTCTTGTTGTTAGTTACAGGAGCTGGCACCGGCTTCTCCGGCCCTGTATCGCACCTTTTTGTTCTGTTTGGCCGGCTCGCCAGGTCCACCTTTCTGTTCATTACTTTTCATTATTTTTTTGTGGCACAGGAGGATTTTTAAATTCCTTTAAAAACTAAACA